TTGTTTTATTTGATTGCTACAGTTGTTGACCTTAACTGCTTTGTTTATAATGTCAGAAAAACTAAAACTAAAAAGAAAACTTTTAGCCCTCAAATGATGTGAAATTTGATATAACACCAACTAACAGACAATTGTGTTGTCGATTAATTATCACATTTTTTAATAGGTGGCTTTAATTTGTTGGTCATTTGATCTGTTTATAACCGCTTTTGTTATTTTGATAATCAATCATATTATACCAACTAAGAATCCTTGACGGTAGTCTGAAAGTAAAAAAATTAAAAAAATTTCTTTTTTATATTTGTATTAAACAGCTAAAAACAAGCAGACAACTGTTTTGATCTACTAATCTTTTGAACAGTTTAACTAGATGGCAGTCTCTGTTCGGCCTATCTCAAAAGCATTGACAGTCTAAAATTGCTTATAGATAAGCTGTCTGCACTTCCATCTTGTAGTTATATCAGCAAAAAACAGAATCTTGCTTGAAAATGCTGCAGGTTATCGAGAATTAATTTGATAGATGTTTAGTGGGAGATATGTAGCAGGCAGAATTTAGGGTACGTAGAAAATTTTTTCTGAAATACTAAATAAATGATTTTTTGTTTAGGTTCTATTTCTGTACTTCATTTTAGATGCTCTATTATGTTTATTAATATCAGTCTTTAATAAATTTGTATGTTTATGCAGTTGAGGACTGACAGTATATATATAAGCAAAGTAATAATACAGTTCGTTTTTACTGCGAGTGACTGACTGACAATCGTTTTCAACTATCTGCTTACAACAATTGGTAAGCGTATGAAAAGCAAATCAAGTTTTGTAGAAAAATGAAACTCAGTTATAGAACAAAGATTTATTTTGAAAAGTAGAAAAAAATGAAACACTAGACGTCGCCTGGTTGTCTAGTCAGTAAGTTTCAATGTTGTCCAGTGCTGTTTTCACAGACTACACTGATCACTTTTTTTAATACCAGTGTTCAATTACTAAACAGTTGTAGCGAGTACGAGACCAAAATTTATTTCAAACTAATAAGACCTAAAAAAAAAAAACTAAACTACTTTTAATAATACCTACATTTCTTCTAGTAAAATAAACACATTAAAAAAATGTTCAATTAATGAAATAAAAATTAAAGTTTTGCCATGAAGAAATTTCTTTTAAATATGTTATAAACATATGTTAATACACACTCTAAACTGAGTGCTTAAAAAGTAGAATTTTCTAACACATCCTTGTTTCAAATTGCAATAGTAAGGATCCTCTTCAGCCAACTCGTTTCAGGGTTTTAAAAATAGTTCTCCTGATTGCTCCCAATTTTTTTCTTCTCGCCTACAAAAACCTACTTTAACAGCGTCTTACGAATTAAATTTTCAATATCAATGTTTACAAACTAAAAATTTTAGATTTGAATAATTTTAATTTTGCAGCAGTATACTCTAAATTTATACATCATCAGGACAATTTTTCTTTGAAAATATAAGCCGACAAGATCAAGACACAGCTCAAAATACGTATACAAATTTATTTTGAATTATTCAAAAAATATCAAGATAGAAGACGTTTTTTAATCTCTCACTAACTTTTGCAATCTTTGCTGCTTCTAACAACATGTCTTGAGTTAATCTCTTAAAGCCAGGATAAAAGGTTCACTGTACAAAAACTAATTTCTTGCTTTTTCTCGATAAATGTCAGGATATATCTCTTCAAGAATGCCGTTCTTCTCGATTGTCTAGAGAACTTCTTATAAAGCCAAAATAGTATAGCCTTTCCATGGTTACAAAAAACGGCAACTTAATCTTTACATAAATCAGCTTCAAATTTTCTTATCTTTTGAGGAAGTTACTAAACAGCTACAAGCTGGTTAGCTTCTTTTCTACGTTTAAAGCAGTTAAAAAGTAGATTCGTTCTAAAAATTGTGTTTTTTAGAAATAAATTATATCTGAAAAAATTAATCAATTAAAAGAAACACTAATGTTTTAATTCTGTAAAGCCTAAAATGTAATGCAATAATTGTTAATCTCATATAAATAAGTCTTAAAACTTTTAAAAAAGCACAGTAATCATTTCTTCTTTTTCTTTTTTTTTTTTTTCATTTTTGAGATCGAAGTCTTGCAGATGTTAATCTTTAGGATAATCAGTTTTAACGTTCTACTTGACTGATACCAAACTTTCAGCTGCTATCAGCAAGTATTTATGCTGTTAATGCTTAGTTATAGTCTTAAGCGTTTATTTCCTCTCTAAACCTAAATTTTTCAAAGTAAGCTAACCTTATTATTATAAAAGGTGGCTAAATTAACTTATGCAGAGTCATTTAAACGTGCTTGATTAAAATATCTTCTAATAGCTTTCATATACTCCTGAAAAAATCACACGAAAAAAGATGCATTTTTTGAGCACTGAAGTAAATCAGTAATTCTACAACTATATATTTCGTTATTTAGTTTAATTAAGTTATATATTTACTTACTTATTGTGTGTTTAAAATACTGAACAGATTATACTTTTGCAGAATTTTAGTAAACAATAACAGATTTTTTTTTGCTTTTTCTATCGGTCAATTTGCTATTAAAATTAGCAATTTAGACACAAATTAACTCTAAAAATGCAGTTGTTATTCATGATTATAGACTGTTATTTTACAGCGTAAAAATTTTGTATTTTTTGTCACACCTTTTTTCATGTTGTATGAAAAAGTTTTTTGATGATATTTTTTGCAAGAACAAATCTACTGACAGGTTACTAGTGCTGTTTTCAATACATGTATTCGGGTAGTAAAGTTTATTGTTGGAAAAAAAAAGTGGTCATGTTTACGGTTTAGAGAAGAGTAACCGTGTATGGTAGGTAGTATTTCGAACAACTTTCG